TTTCTGGTGAGAATTTCTGGTGGGAACCAGCTGAAGGGACCTCCCTTTCCAGGCGGGGCTGAATCAGAGCAGGCTCTGAGATCTCAGTCGATGTTCACTTGAGTCGACCGGGGACAGCTCCTGTATGCTGGTTCAGCCTCCCAATGACAGACAGTCTTTTCATGCAGCATTTTGCAGCGTGGTTATCATGTATATACAATAATCAATTGGTTTATATGATTTGACTTGATAATTGTAACTGCGCCTTAAAGATTTGTTACACATCATATGACATTACTTGGAGAGAAAGTAATCAGTCATAAGGTAATACTCTTCACTCAAAGCAGTTTCAAAAGCATTGCATAAGCATTTGATTAATATCTTTGTTCCTTTATAATGTCATCTTATAATGACTGACTAAATAAAAAGGAAAACAAGAAGAAAAGGAGCGCTTCATTTTCTTAAACATTCTTTAAACTTAGTCGATTTCTTATCAGTTGTCAATTTCCGTACTTATTTTATAAGGCTTTTCATAAGGCATTGACTCTGGCATGTACTTGTAACCGATACTATTATTTATCTTAGTTTACCCATGGTTCAGGATTTGTGGAGCTGGCTTCTCGTTGCATTAGGATCCCTCTGTTCCCCTCTAGTGGTCGAATTCGGAATTTGTCTCAGGACTTAAACCATCCAATTCCATTTTCTCAATTTTGTGCTCTATCTCCTGCCTGACGAGGCGCGTTACCTTGACAACGGATATGTCTAAACTGTGAAATGTCAGATTCTTCCCTGATAAGCAACACTCGGTTGGCAACAAATGTGTGGAATCTATGATCCTCATTATTTTTTTATGTGATTGAGAATTAACTCAACTCAACTCATCTTAGTTAGTTAGTTAATTGTTTATTGAACATACAATACAACAACAATTGACAAAAGGCAAACAAAATTACAAAAGGAGAAATAAAAATAAAAAGTAAATAAAACAAACATCATCATCGTTATATGCTCAAAGGAGTAGGAAGAAGTATACAACTTATCTAGTCCTACCCCTTGTTGTGTAATAATATAAATAGATCATTTTTCAATGCAAAAGAAAAGGAAGAGATCTACCTCTCATCAAGTACTTTTACCCTTATGTGTACTGTACTTATCTATTTATACACCCTTCTGTTTGTATATACATACATATATATACATATATATATATATATATATATATATGTATATATATGTATGTATATACAAACAGAAGGGTGTATAAATAGATAAGTACAGTACACATAAGGGTAAAAGTACTTGATGAGAGGTAGATCTCTTCCTTTTCTTTTGCATTGAAAAATGATCTATTTATATTATTACACAACAAGGGGTAGGACTAGATAAGTTGTATACTTCTTCCTACTCCTTTGAACATATAACGGTGATGATGTTTGTTTTATTTACTTTTTATTTTTATTCTTATTTTTCCTTTTGTAATTTTGTTTGCCTTTTGTCAATTGTTGTTGTATTTTATGTTCAATAAACAATTAACTAACTAACTAACTAACTAACTAACTAAC